ATAAATCTACTTTTTCATGATATTCTAATTTTATGACAAGCACCTGTATACTTAAGTATTAAAAGTAAAAGCATTGATTTAAAATGAGCAGTTAGATTTTCTGTAAGGACGTTTATTAGGAGGTGACCTCCCCAAAAAAACTGCAGAAATGACTGTTGTATAAAAATAATGAATGTATGTTAAATTTAGGATGCACTAGTCCAGCTGTTTCAGTTTATAAACATATATCGAGGCTGCACAAAGCTTTTCCCCAAAATGAAAATCTATTTAAGGGCTGCAGCCAAATGTAATAATATAATTCATGAAATACAAATACTTCTTAAGTACAGTCCTTTTATTTTAATGATTATGTCCTGCTGGGGTGTGACATGATTTGTTTGTGTACAAAGTAATACGGTATCAGAGTTTTATATATTTATACTTCTCATTCAACCACAATTAAATTCACTCTATCTAGGAGGCTCAGTTTATATGGATAGTATTAATTTTTTTACAATAACAAGCTGGAATGAAAACAAGCAAAATGAAATAAAAGTAACAACTTTCTACTTCTTGCCTTTTTAAAAAACTGCAAGGAGTAGAAAGTAGAGATACGTAATTGTGCAAAAATGTAAGAAGTAGAAGTAAAAAGTAGGCTGAAAAATAATTACTCAAGTAAAGTACAGATACCCAAAAATACTAAAGTACAGTAAAGAAGTATTTGTACTTAGTTACTTTACAACTCTGCTGAGATTACCCAAAACCAGCGGAAAGTATTTATTAATCCTATTTTTGTTCATATATAGTTAGCTGCTTTAAGACAAGGACAGACTTAATCAGATAAGAAGAGGTGGGCGGTGGTGGGTGACCTCCAGAACTCGTTATGTACTTTGGACAAGCTAACAGGCACAGTGGAAGGAAATTATTCATTATCTTAAAACATTGTTAAGCAAACAGTGTTGTCTGTGCTAGTTTTTTTTACACTTGTTCATTTTCATGCGGTTAGTACCTTTTGTTGTTAATTGTGCTTAATTAATCCTGACTATTACACGTATGTTGCACGTTGTATAACATGGTAAAAGGAGAATGGAAGTTCAGGTTCTTAAGTCCAAAACATAAATATGCATTCAGCAGGAAGGTGCTGTCACAACAAATGACTAACAGCCGTTTTTGATGCATGTTGAGTTCATTGTTATGCTTTGCAGAGTCTGTCCCATCATTTAATAATACTTCTTTGAAAACATTTAGCAACACACAGACATTGGCATTAAAGATGTCTGAAAATAAATTGTTCACTGAAATGTGCCCTGCAGGTATAATGATCCTGGTACTTTTGTAAAAAAAAATAAAAAAAAGTGGCATCCAGCAGAATGGGCTGAAACCAATGCTGCTAACAAGCTCTTGTGTCTGAGAATAATTTAGACCCTTTTCACCCATGAACTCGTTGCCTTTAGTAAAGTAAAGACATTATTGTTTTTTGAAACATGATGTCTCTGGTTTCAGAGTGGACCTTTGGTCCAGAGCAGGTATTATTCTGACTATTGATTGTTGTGTGCTGAAGATTAAAGCCCACTTGTGATTTTCTTTATAGAAAATATGCTGCTGCCTGTTGCTGCAAAGTGATGTGCTCAAATGATACAAAATTGCTTTTTTTGTTGATTCTGTTGAAACTTTTCTTGCAACTCCATGTATAGATTTTTACAGTCCCCCTCCTTGCACAAAGCTGTGGGGCGGAGTTTAAGTCTCTCACAACAATGAGCATTAAAGAACCAGATGCACTGGTAGACGAATAACTAAACAAAATGCAACATCGTCAAGTCAAGACGTATGACAAAATATTATTTCACACAAATTCTTAGATAAATAAAAAACAGACTTCTTTGAGGGAATGCATTGCTGGACAAGGTTTATACTGCTTTTAAATCAGGATCAACTCATTAAAATATAAAATATTATGTGTGATCTCGATGAGATTGTGAAATTTTGAGATTTGTTGGGTATGATTCTCAGCTACTCACCAGATTTTTGCTCATTGTCTAATGCTAACGAGTTACAGCATTTATTTTGTTAGCTGGCTGCTTTACTCCAACAGTTTATTAGTTGTAGATGCTCATCTAATGAATACTTCCTGATTTAGCAACTTTGCTCCCGCTGACATTAAATAAAATTTTAATTTATATCGTTATTAACCTAATTTTTCAGACTGTTCATGTCTAACAGTAAGAATCAAGAGACATTGGGCGATTCTTTTTTTTAGTGATGCTGCTGTGTGTGAGTAAAGCTTTAGACAGACAGGCAGCCCCCCCAATTCACCCTCATGCCATGTT